GCGGCGCCGCGTGGAGCTCGCGCGACGGGCGTGGGCACGTCGTCGCTCCGTTCCTCGAGGGCGGCCGCTGGAGCGGCACGTTTCGGCCCAGCCGCGGGGCAGTCGCGCGCTCCTCAGCTTCTGTTGAGCGAAGACCCCGCCGCCGACCCAGTGTGCGCGGCTAATGCCTTGCCAGTCGTATTCTGGGGGCGTGCAGTGGTCGAGAGAGTCGAGAGGCGGGTTCCGCCGGATTGGATGGCGTCGCTTTACGATGAAGTTGTTCAGGTGTTCTCTGGCAAGGTCCGAGGGCCCTGCTCGGCCGTTCTGGCCACCTTGGCTCGCCTGGGTTGGGCCCCGCAGAGCTATTCGAGGTGGGGGGCGGGTGGTCGTGTTGTGGTCGATCTGTCGGAGGTCTACCGAGGCTCCCTGCGTAAGCTAGTCGAGATTGGTACGGAGCGTGCGCTCCTGCGAGGCTCGCCAAGCTCTCTTGGTCTTGAGAATGCAAGGGGTGCTCCGCCCCTGGTGCCAATTCGCAGGGCTCAGCAGCAGCTTCGACGAGAAGGTTGCAAGACGGCGGCCCAGCTCCTCAGGGCTCGCGTGTCGGGGGGTCTCTGGACGCAAGCGCGGCTTTTCGAAGCTCGATCGGTGGAGTCCCCGGGTGAGAGAAATACTCGGTACCTTGACGGGCGCGACGCTAAGTATTGGCGCGAACTGGTCAAAGACTTGAACAACTGACCAAGCAGAGCTCCATGACCGTGGTGGTGTTGTCGGGGAGAATGTGCTCAATGCTGGAACTCGCTGATCTCAAATACTGGCAAGTTTTCCCCTCGTGGCCGCGACTTCTGCTTGATGTGGCTCCAGGGGGACATGGCGTGCACTAGGCATGTGAATGCGAGCGACGAAATGGAAACACTAGTATGATGAGAATACGGGGGATGGGGCAAAAGCTGCGTATGGATATCTGAGGGACAAACCCATCTCTCTCAGACCCAAGCTAGTTGGAACTACGGGAGATGCTCAAACGTGCATGTCTGTGGAGAGCCAGCTGAGATATGAGAAATGCAAATGCGAGAGGGCGTGGGCATGTGAATCAGACAAGAAACCTCCTGGGTGGCTTCAGATTCCCGCCGCAATACTGTTGCTGCCCACGCAAGGGGGCATGCGTTATCAACGTGAAATGTTCAAGCTTCAGACATGCCAGCACGGCGGTTAGCGTTCGAGACGCTAGTCCTTTTTTCGGCGATGGTACTCTTGAGGTGTTTGGGGCACAATTGATGGTCGTGGAGATAACTGGTGAAGCGCCGTTGCCTATGCGACGACTTATTGTGCAGCTCACTTACACACCTGCAAGTGGCCGCCGCCCCTTGGGCTTCTTCCCACTGCTGGTGGGGATCAGTGGCAAATTCGGTAAGAGCAGAGTTCGCAAGAAGGAAACGCTACGTGGACTTGGCTCAGCATTTCCCGCGGCCCAGGAGGCGTAGTGTGGCGCCAGGCGATTTTGGCAGAAGGCAATGCAAACACGAACCACTTGTACATTTCAACCATATGGGGCCACCTGCATTTCTGCGAACTTGCCGTGGGGCCTCATTATCTCCAACGCTACGTTGGCTCAATTCCCAGTGGAGGTGCTACAACTGTCCTTGTCCATGTGCAAATGGCCCAGACTGCTCAAGTATGGCCAGGTCCTCATCGACCCAACAATACGTGGGGTTGTTGCAAGTAGCATGGCTGCCACATTCGAGGCCACGTTAGCGTTGCTGCTGCTGATCGAGGACGGAACTATCCCTGCATGTTGACGACATATAACAGCACCAGTGGGGACATCTTATAATCGACCTTTTGAGGCAGATGCGAACCCATGTGCGTCGGGTGGGGCACCGCCTACAAACGCAAGTGGAACTCACGCTGGCCATGCACAAAATAAACATGAAGGCGTAAAGTGGCAAGATGCGCAATTTGGCTCGTATGGCCCTTGGACAGCTAGGCAGACCAAGATATTACCCAATCCAGACCATAGGTTTGGATCTCACAGTCGGCAAACACAAGGCTGACCCAAACGCTCACAGCACGAGGGCTCAGAGATGGCGTAACATGATGGGCAAGAGGCAACGTATTTCCTACATGAAGCTGGGCGACAGAGGACGCACAACCAGACTCACGATAACGAATGCGGTTCCAAGAGTGGTGTAGGGAACAGAGGTCAACGCTTCCAGGTACACAAGTTGAGATCGCAAATGTCCAGATCGCGTGGCCAAGATTTGAGCGGACCTCGGCTGGGTTTTGTCGAAGATCAAGGACCCAATGATTGTGGCGAAGTCTACGATGGAGGAATGCAATGCTGAATGGTGGACGGAAACAGTGGTTTAAAGAAAAAAGTCGGTGCCCCAGCGATGGTATCCTCACATGGTGTCGGGAGGTTGCGTGGCGCGTTGTGAGTCCCGCCTCCTTCCGTGACCTCGTGGGTCACATGGTCGATGCTAAGACCCCGGTCCCGACTTTCATAGCCAAGAAGTTTGAAACGAAATGCAATGATGCTAGAATCCAGCGAATTGTTAAGGCTGTGTGCGAACCCCACCCCAACCCTGACCCACAGTCCTTTCTGGAACGGGGTCTTTGGTGGGAAACCAGCTTGAAGGTTTTAAGCAGCAGGCTTACGATGGCCCAGAAAGAAGTGTTATGCTGTAGGCAGGTTTTTGATGGATGTATGCCCAAAGCTGTCAACCTAAGGAAGCGGGGATACAACGTGGATCCCCTCTGCACACATGGATGCGGCAAAGAGGACACCGTGTTTCACAGATGCTACGAATTTGCGTTTGCCTAAGCCGGGAGGCCAGAAATCTTTTCAGAGGGCACTCTCCAGCGAGCCCCCACAACAAATGCCGACCCATGCACTACGTCCAAGACGGAATTCTGGTGGAACCGCTCGAATTCTGTCCTGGTTATCGGTTCAAGGAAGGCGGCTCCTGCCCCAGACCGAATGAGGGGTACCTGTCGGGAGCTGGGTGGTGGGTTGCGCATTTGTCTGAAGCAACAGACCTAACGCGCTGTATTTACGGAGAAGTACCAATCGTGCCAGGACAGAGCTCTGCAGTAGGCGGACGCATAGGTGTGACAGGTCTGCGCTCACATCAACTATATTGCTGGGGCTACGGGGCCTCAGTGTTGATTTTACGGGCCGCTTCAGGGCCCATGCGTCTCTATTTTTGCTCTGGGCCCAAACATGATCACAAGTACAGTTATGTCTGGAAACAACTTGCTCAACATATAAGTCAGGCATCTTGGGTGACCTTCCACAGCGTGAAGGCGCACCGTGCAGAGGTTGAGGCGCAGGACGACGTTGTCCTCCTCGACAGCCGAGGCAACACGGCCGCGGACTCGCTTGCGGGACAAGGCGTCCGAAATCACGACTTCGATGAGATCACACTCGCCCAGGCTGTTAGGAGTTGTTTCTAGGCGTGCGTAACATCCTGTCCCACTGGTTGCCAATTTCCGACCTTGTTGAGCTCACGGCGGGGTTGGCGAGGCCACGAGTTGGGAGGTCCACTGGGAGCCCACACCTTCCTCGGTGGCACGTCGATCATTAACGATGTTCATGTTGTTTGCAAAAGGTCTCGCCCTTCACGAGGACTCCGTTCTGCGCTCTGACTCCGTCTCTGCTCAGTGCCTCGAAGGCCCCAGGCTCCTACGGCCAACGTCCCAGTGTTTCTTGGGTCGTGGGGTCGGGGTTGCCCGTCGTGTGGTGCACGTGCTGTGGACATTTTGGCACGTCTGAGGCACTCCTCCTCCTCCTCCTCTTCCTCCTCCTCCCTGAGTTTGACAGAGAGTTGTGCCGAGAACCTCAAATCCAAAGGACGACGGCAGCTTATGAACTGCAAGCTGTCGATGACTACATGTATGCTGCATGATACCACCCCTATCACAGATCGCGTGTTGGACAAGATCAATAATTTCGCGACTGGGGTGATCCCCCAATCCCCTTGACCTGGGTTCGTGCCCACATGATGTGTGGTGCACCGTATGGCTTGCCCGTGCTGGTCTTTATTTGAGGAGGAGGAGGAGGGAGGAGAGAAGGGTGCCGCCTGCCTTCTCCCCTCGTTTCCTTTCTTCTTGCCCATGCCGCGGTTCTAGAGGCCCCCTTCTCGACCGCGGCTTTCGCCAAGTCGCCCCACTGTGTGTGCGTATCCGCTCCCAAAGTCCGTGCCCTGCGATCCTCAGAGACAACATGGCTATTCTCTCTTCAAACCCTGGCGGGCCATTCTTTCGGGGGGCGTCAACTGACCACCACGTCCAATATATCGGTGTAGCGCCCCCCCCCCCCAACGACCAGGCCAGGAGGGCGTATGCACAGATCCTGCGCCCAAGACGCGCCTGGCCAAGATCGGTGAGGTGATAAGTCGACGTCGCTCGATTCTGAGGGGATCATACGTGCACTCTGCAGATTCCCCTCCTGACGGGCGCCTCGCGCCGCACCCGGCACCTCACGCCTGCAGCCCCGCGCCGAGGGAGCGGACGATCCGAGCAGCGGGTGCCTTGCGTGTGCGAGCAGTGCATCCGCCTGAGGCCCCGCCTTCCTGTGCCCTGTCTCCCTAATTAAAGGTGTGCGTAGCCTTCCTAACTCTTAGCGGAAGAGGTTCGCTCTCGCCCCGCAGATCAAAAAGTGTGCGAGCAATGCAGCCGTCGTGCTGCCGTAGGGACTGCCGGCCAAGGAACGAAGGGGCTCTTTTGGACACGGCCAGCCTCCGACCCAGGTCTGAAGGAACAGCGCAACGGGCACACAGCAGGAGCTCGACCACAGTCAACCTTCCACAAGAAATCCAACCCCGAGGCCCCAGAAGTTCGTGGGTTTTTGGTGTGGGAACGTGACACTTTCCATGGCAAAGCCATCGAAACCCAGGAAACCCAGGGCACCATGGAGGCAAGCAGGGTGTTTCTTGGTATGGGCTTCCACTGTAGCTCCTCCTGAACCGACAAGTGGTCCGAATTTCAGCGTCTCGACTGTATGTTTTTGCGATGCTGCCCGCCTCTGGGGCCATCCCGAAGCCGCTCTCGGCCATGATGAGCGCCCTGGCGTCACTCGGGCTAAAATCCACTCGCTCCGCCAGTGCCAACGCGTAGTCATCGTCCATGTTGCTCTGGGTCACGTCCACGGGCAGATCGTCGTCGCTGTCCTCCTGGAGGGGTGCCACATACTATCCTAATATGTATACAGCGTACATGTTTCCCACGGCAAGGAAGAACATCACGTAGGATTCGAAAGCTCGCTGGCATATCACAGCCCCTTTGATCTACCCGAGAAAGGAACGCAACAATCAAACACAACGGCGGCGCACGGTAAACTGAATGTGAGTCACTCAGTGGCCTCTTTGGGGCCACCGCGCCGCCAAACGCCTGGCGCGTGATGCGATTTCAATACCCGCCGACGCACTCTGCAACTGTCTGCATGCCGCAAACTTCTTCCGCCCCCCCTTTGCACCTGCCGTTTATCGCGAGTAATGCTGCCGAGGGGTACTCTTGTAGTTCTCAAGTGCATCTTTGAGAAAACTAATGTCCGCCAGCACTGTCGGCCTCGTCGGGTGCATCAGGCTGCGAGGAGTAGGCTTTCCTATTCCCTGCAACAGTTCCAATTCCCAATGTACATTTGAAGATGTTTGTTTTGTAATTGCACTGCTGTGATGGTTGAAGGCCGCGCGAGGGGGGCAACCCGAACACCGCCTGGTTCCCGTCACCAAATCACGTAATCTGAATTCCTGGGGGGTGCCCTGAGACACGCAAACAGACAAGGCTTGCGCTCACGAAGCCACAAACATACAAAACGCTTGCGTCCGCGAAGCCAGAACCCTTGGCAAACTGTTGCCCATTCGCGCTCCCGAAGCCACGAACCCAGCCAACGAAAGCTGCCCCAAAGCGCCATCCCTTCTGAAGGGCAGAAACACTGTAATTTTCTGTATTGAGATCTGTGTTCGGGGGGCGCTTTTCGGCCCCTCCTGATAATTCGGCTCAGGACCTGAGGCCACGAATCCTCGAACATAGCTATGGGTGCCCACTCCCGCAGTCGCGAATCCTTTTATATTAAAACCGAATTGCGCTCCTGAGGTCACCATGTCCCTTACCTATCACAGGCGCGCGCAACTAGCTGGCCAGCAACCAGCTCAAGCCAACTGACAATCACCAGCTTAGACAACAAGCCACTCGGCCGAATTGACAACCAACCAACCAACAAGCGTGGCCATGCAAGCAATCCGAGGGGGCTGGCTGCAGAGACAAGTGGCTTGGTTCTAACGCAGGTAGGGATTCCCTACCATCTGTCGCAGTTCTACTGGGCAGTAGCACATTCGTCTGTATTATGAAGCGTTTAGCCTCAGACCCTAGCTGTTATGCCTGCCCTTCTTCCTTGCATCCTCAACCGCGGTGGCGGACATGCGCGGAAGCGCATGTAGATCAGATGATGTGCAACCTACTAGAATGTGGTGATGCAATCGTACATCCGACGGTCATTCGGTTTATTCATCGATTCCCGACTGTGGAGATCGAGGGGTCTCGTGAGATCCGTCCAACCACCTCGCAATATGGCGCATAAGCTGCCAGGTGCCTCGTCTGAGGCCTCCCGTGGCCCCTGGGCTGGTGCCCCGACTCCTGGCCCCCTGGGGGCCACTGCTGGTCTCCACTGCCTTCGCAGACGTCAAACACGATTCACTGTATGGCTGGCTCGATCGACGATTGCGGTGACACACTACGATTGCCGCCCGATTGCCATCACGTCCTACCCGTTACTGACAATTCCATAATACCCAGTCGTAAATGAATCTCACCAGATGGTTTTCTTTCCTCTTCCAAGCCACCTCTTCCCTTCTGGGAGGGGTGCCCTCCCCCTCACCCTCCCTGATCTTTTTTTTGGGGGCGGCTCCGCGATGTGTCAGGAGTTCCTTCTTCGCCCAACATTGCTCCAAGAGGGCCTCCAAGATGGCTCAAGATAGCCGACGGTGGCTTCAAACATGCTCCAAGAGGCCTCACAGGCCGCTTCCAGGCAGCCCCAAGTGCTCTCGGAGCCCCCTCAGGTCCTCCCCAAGAGGCCCAAATCTATCAACAACCTATGGAACATAAACGGTTTCCGCCGTCTCGCCTTTTCGCTTCCGATTTGCTTTTGAGGCCTCAGGATGGCCCAAGGGAGGCCCAGGAAAGGCCCTAGAGGCCCCCAAAACGGCCTCAAGAGCGCTCAAGAAGCCTCAAACCGCCCCAGGATAGACCCAAGAGGCGACTGTCATGACCCCCAGAAGGGGGAGGAACTTGAAGGACCCCCCCCCTCTGTTAGTAGATGTCCTCCAAGATGGCCCCAAGAGGCTCTTCAGGGCTCCCGAGACCCCTCAAACGAGCCCAAAGAGGGCCCCAAGACCCCTCAAATATGACCCCAAGAAGGCCCCGAGACAACCCTAAGAGGACGCCACCAAGGCCTCAAAAGGACCGCAAGATGGCTGCCAAAGTCCTTGTCCTCGTCCTCGTCCTCCTCTTCCTCCTCCTCCTCGTTCTCGTGCTCGTCCTCCTGTTCCTTCTCCTCTTCCTCTTCCTCGCCCTCGTCGTCGTCGTCCTCCTCCTCCTCCTCCTCCTGCTCCTCTTTGTACCTCGCTAGGCAGAAATTCCACTGCACGCTTCTACATTCCCCACGAAGAAAGCAACTCGCCTGGATATCGCTTCAGGATCTCTTCCGTCCGTTTTCTGTCAGCTCTCACCGGCAGCGCTTCTGAACGGGCTGGTGGGGATACTCGAAGCGTGAGGAGTACTTCATAACGCTGGCGTCCAACTGCGTAATGCTTCAAGCAGTTCGCTCATGTCGCCCCGCTCGGGACTCTACCAAAGCCAACTTCTGACGTTTAGAAATGTTGTGCAACTGTCGCTGGAGGCAAACGGTTTTGAGGTTCGACCTGACGTTGGGTAGATCGCTTCTTTTGGCAGCCCCGTCTGGTGCACCCACGCGGGGCCACCAAGAGCCACAGGGTTTCCAAGACAAGGACCTAACAGAGCTCCCAGAAAAACATCGCTGTGGGCCCCGGGGGAACCCCGCATATTGACGAGCACCTGGGCCTGCCAATGCCTTCTGACTTCGGTTTTCCAACACGGAATACTTGCGCCCGAACGCTCGCCCAAAGTGTCCGAGAAGGAACCCGAGACGGCCCCCACAGGGTCCAGGCCCCGAGAAGGTCTGACGTGAAGTCTGTGGGATGTTCCAAGGCTGCTGCTGCTCCTCGTTCGCCCCCCCCCCCCCCCCAGATTTTCCTCTTTCCCTTCCCCTCCTCATCCCTCCTACTCGCCCTCCCTCCTCCTCCTCCTCCTCCTCCTCCTCCTCGTCCTCCTCCTTCTACGGCAACCATTCGAAACTACAACAAACACGCAAACATCCAGAACCACCAGCAATGTCGTATAATAACCAGACGGATATCCTCCCTTCCTCCGTCTGTCTCCTTCTTCCCTTCTCCTCCTCACCCTCCTACCCCATCGACCTCCTCCCTTTCCCCCTCCCACCCCCTTTTGGGAATCTTCAAAAGGCTACGCAGACAGCTCTGGAAACCAGCTGAAACAACTGCTAGGCGCATGTGGAACGCGCAGAGGGCATCCGACGCCACGCGAGAAAAACCCAAACACATGGTGATTGTTCCCCTCATCCTTCTCTCCCTCCCTCCCTCCCTCCCTCCTTACCTCCCTCCCTCCCCCTGCCTCCCTTCCTCGCTCCTTCTCCTCCCTCCTCTGCCGTCCTCTTCTCCTTCTCTCCTCCCTCCTCTTCCTTCTCCTCCTCCTCCTCCTCCTCCTCCTCCTCCTCCACCTCCCCATCGTCTTCGCCGTCGTCGCCGCCGTCGCCGCCGCCGCCGTCGTCGTCGCCGCCGCCGCCGCCGTCGTCGTCGTTCTCCTCCTCCTCCTCCTCCTCCTTCTCCTCCTCCTCCTCCTCCTCCTCCTCCTCCTCGTCCTTCTCTCCTCCTCCTCCTCCTCCCCCTCCTCCCGAACGCGAAGGCGCGGCGGCATAGACGACTGCGGCGCGGGGGGCAACAACACCGCGTGGAACCCCGCGTCCTCGCCGCTGTCAGTCTCGGAATCCGCGTCCGAGGCCGCCTCCTCGGCGTCGGCCTCAGTCAGCCTGCGCTGGAAGGCGCCCACCTGGAGGAAAGAGGGGAGGGAGGGGGGATGACGAGGAATGAGGAGATGGAGGAGGAGGAGGAGGAGGAGGAGGAGGAGGAGGAGGAGGAGGAGGAGGAGGAGGAGGAGACGGAGAGAGGAGGAGGAGGAGGAGGAGGAGGAGGAGAGGAGGAGGAGGAGGGAGGAGGAGGAGACGAAGAAGAAGAGGAGATGAGGGAAGAGGGAGGAGGAGGAGGAGGAGGGGGAGGAGAGAGATGATGAGGATGACAAGGGTGATGGAGGAAGGGGATGAGGGATGATGGGGGTGCGGGAGGAGGGAGGAAGAGTGGCAGGACGAGGGACGAGGGAAGACGAGGAGGAGGAGGACGAGGAGGAGGAGAAGGAGGAGGAGGAGGAGGAAGAGGAGGAAGGTAATGAGGAGGAGGAGCAGGAGGAGGAGAAGGGGGATGAGGAGCAGTAGCAGGAGGAATGACACGAGGGAGGAACGAGATGCGGGATGAGGGGGGTGAGGGCTGAGGGGGGAGGAGGTGGTGGATGATGAGAATGATGAGGAGTAGGAGGGGGGAGGAGGAGGAGGAGGAGGAGGAGGAGGAGGATGAGGAAAGAGGAAGAGGAGGAAGAGGAGGGAGAAGAGGGATGAAGGAGGAGGAATGAGGAGGGATGAAGGCTGATGGTGAAAACGTCGGAAGAGGAGGAGGAGGAGCATGAGGATGAGCAGGAGGAGGAGGAGGATGAGGAGGAGGAGGATAATGAGGAGGACGAACCGAAGGAGGAGGAGGAGGACCAGTGTAAGCCCAAAGCTCATTAACGATATTGCAATCAACCCTCCCTCCAAACTCCCTTCCCATAAACCCCTGCAACTATTCATTTTCATTGAAGGAAAAGCCCCGTTATAAGATAACCGTTTGAACACCTTGGACTGTGCCAGAACACCATTGCTGGGGCTTTCACGCTTCGACTCACCGTTGCTCTTGCGTTTCGACGGTCTTGAACCGTGCCAGAACAGTTCCTGGAACTTCAACACCACGAATCAACGTAACTGCTGCGCCCTTACGATCCGACATCGTGCTAAAACGCCATTTCCGGGACGCCATAACGATTGAAGCTGCTGTAAACTCTGAAAACGAAGGTGCGTGGCGCTAAAAAAACATAACCACTTTTTGAGAAGGAGCCGCCCTCCATCAGTGAAGCTCTTGCAATTTTGAAAAAAAGAAAACGAATGTGCGCGGCGCCAGGGCGAGAACCACATTGTGAACGTGAGCCGCCTTCCATCCGTAGAGCTCTTACACATAAAACACGGACGTGCCCGGCACTGAGGCGAGAGACACCTCTTGAAAGCCACCCGCCCTCCGTCCGTGAAGCTTTTGCAAATATGAAGCTTCCAGATCATAAGTGGTGAGGAAGTCCCAGACGAAACGCCCAGTCCGCCCTTTCGACCGCCCTTGGGGCGCGACAAAGAAGAATCATCTACAAGGAAAAAGGACTGGATTATGAGAAGGAGGAGAATAGTCCCACGTCCTGAGGAAGAGTGAGGAGGAAGAAGAGGAGGAGGAAGGATTTCCGAAATGCATACAAACCGCCTTCCTGCTTGTCTGGAGAATCACGACTGTGACAATGCGCAGACGAACAGCTTTGGCCCTCATCCCTTCCAGGGCTAAGAGGTTGACAAATGGAACGAGGAGAAGACATGGCATCACCCCATCCCATTGAAACTCACGGTCACGTTTCCTGTGAAGTTGGCGGCCAAATCACATGTAGAACGTCGGGGGGAGCGGGAGCGTGACTGGGGGAACTCATTGGGGCAAGCGATGGCTGAGTGCAGAGGCCCTGCCCACAATCGATGTGTATTTCTGAAATAGACCCGCTCGCTCCGCCAGGTTCGGGTTGTTCATGTTGCGCCTTTTTTGGCGACCTGGCCTGTCTCTTGAGCTGCCTGTCTTGCAGATGCGCAGGCTGCTCCTTGAGCGCGATCAGCATCCCGTCCCGCGGTGGCAGAGCCCTGTCCAGTAAACTGCCCTGGAGGCGGAGCCGAAAGCAACGTGGTCGGCCACGGCTCTGGGCTCGACCGAAGAACAAGAACGGGTTGAACCGGTGGTGCCAGAAGAGCAGGGTCAATGGGCAACGGGGGGAGTCGGAGCACTCCACCGGTAGACGACGAAACTGACGGAGAACATTTCGATGTAGCTGACGTGCCTTTAGCGGGTGAATGCGGGAACAACGGCGTAGAAGAAGACGACTGTTGATCCCCCTGCGGAGGAGGAGAAGGTATGGGCAACCGACTCAACGAAAGCCGCTGGGACTCCGTACCCCCAGCGGAACAGAGAAAGAACAGGACTGGCTGAAGGCTTGACTTGAATATTGCAATTTGCCTTGGTAAGGCTGACGCGCCTGGGTTCCGGGCGCGAAATGACTGCGCATGATATGAAAATGGGAGCCCCCCCGCCTCTTCCGCACAGAAGTCAGGGCCCGAGACGGAAGTTGGGAAATGGCGGGCAGCTCGCGCGCGGTGCCTTCGAGGAGGAGGAGGAGGAGAAGAAGGAGGAGGAAAAGGAGGAGGAGGAAGAAGAGGGAAGAGGAACGAGGAAGAGGAGGGACCCCGTTGTTGGGCAGTGTGGATAGTGGACCTAACAGGGCAGGAAGACCATCGCCTGCGCCCTCCACTGCCGGCGCGCGCATGCTGTGTTGCGTGGTCACACTGTCGCGGGAGGTCACCGAGATAGGGCAGTGGACCTCCCATTCCGCGACCTGTGACCCGTTGCCAACTTCTTCTCCGAGGGTTGAAGCTTCGCCTGCGTGGCTCTCCAGGCCAGATTCTCGGCGAATCGCGTGCCCCAGAGATCGGTCCAAGCGCCAGTGTCGACGGTGACGCCTAACTGGCCACCTGATAGTGAAGTACGTGCCAAGTCGTATGACGAATCGCTGTGTGAGCTCGAACCTGTAACTGACGAAGTCGGCCACCGTCGGCCTATATGGAGTTATGTGCAAGTCCAAGTGGGTGTCGTAGGGCACTGCTGTATCTATTGCTGATGCGAAGCTGGATGCACTGCCTGGGGATCGCACGAGATCTGGCCGTGGTGTCCCGGGGGCTCGGGCCGGCCGAGGAGACAGTGCGGTGTCTTGTTGTGGTGGTGTCTTCTCTGGCGCGTCCCCGCTTGGTGCCGCGCGGGCCGGCGCTGTGGGTGCCAGAACCATCGCATCAAGATCCGCCGCATGGTCCGGCGCCATAGGCGTCGGGCCCGTGGGCACACGACCTGCACCAATGAAGCGGAAGTCGGCGATGACGTCGGCCTGTCCGCGGCACGCCAGCCAGTGGGGTAAGCTGGTGTTGGTGTTCTGCGTCAATTGGGGGTGGCATGCGTGGTGCATAATGCGTCGGCATTGTGGACGTACCACCCTCTCGACGTGCAGAAGGCCTCGAGACAAATGGGACGCCCCATGTCGTCGCCGATGAAGACCGCAACGGAAGGAGGTGCAGCGGGCGCTGCCGTCGGCACAAGAGGAGGTTCAATAAGGGTTTCTGTCCAAATCCGTGCGATTCGGCTGCTCGTCGTGCTGTCGTAGTATCTCCAATGCTTGTTGCGTGCTGTGGAGCTCGTCGAGGTGTCGTCGCTGTGTAATCGAGAATAGTGTGCGCGATGTGCTCGGACCAACCGTCTTTAAATATCTATGTCTCGCTGCTGGCGAACCGCGGGGCCACTCTCCCAGATGGTTGGCTCACGTCTACTGGTCTGTCTGGGCTGAATAAAACCACTCTATAGGGAGACCCTGCCACTGGCGGTGACGTGGGTGCCAGTGCTGATTGCGATTGCCACGCGGAACTTGATCCATATGGCGTGCTGATGCCGACTGAGGCTACTGGCGGCATGCGCGCCCAACTCGGCACCTGCGCGTCGGCAGCTGGTGGCGTGGGTTCGGCGGCTTGTGCGTCTAGGCCGCCCAGCCAGTCGCGCCCCTGGGCGTGTCCCACAAAGAATGCACCGCCAACTCGTGTCCACTGTGGTGATGTCGGTGATGCCGCGGAAGCTGTCGGTGCCGTGGGTGCGGCTGGCGCTGGCCCCCCCTCTGCTGCCGCGCGGGCCTGCGACGTAGTCGCAGGGCCCGATGGCTGAGCAGAGGCTTGCGCGCGGCCCGTGAGGTCGGCCATCTCCTGTCGTAGTCGTCATAGTTCGGCGTCTTGTGGATGGCGTGATGATGATGATGATGCTGATGATGATGATGATGATGATGATGATGATGATGATGGTGGTGACGATGATGATGATGACGACGACGACGACGATGATGATGATGATGATGATGATGATGATGATGAAGAAGACGATGCTGTCCCAGCCCATCGTGACCGCTGGCTGTGGCCAATCTGCTGCCGCGAGCCGTCGGGCGACGAACTTGGAGTGGTGGCTGCTGCTGCTGGCCGCCTCGCTGCTGATGCCAGTGTTGGCTGTCCGCCATTTCAGGGTCCAGCGCTTTGCGTGGGGTCGCTGTCGCCAGGGCCCGCAATCATGGACTGCGGAACTCCAGTGGTGTTCCTGGTCATCCAGACCGTGTATGCACCCGTCAAGGGCTGATGCTCAGCTAGGCTTGGTGGCCCTTGCTGTCCATGGTGCGTGAGTGGTATGGATGCTGGTGGTGGGGCGTGGGCGTCGAGGAAGAGAGCGCGCCTGTGGTTTCGGCGCTGGGGGTAGTCGTGCACGAGGTGTTCTTCTGACTCGCTCTCGGGGCACGTGAGACGCAGCCCGTCAGGGCCCACAATATTGCCTTGTCGGCCCGAACCCATGCCACTTCCTTTTCTCTTTACCTTAGCCCTTCCCGAAACCCGCGAACGTCTCTCGGAGGTCGTTGTCGGACAAGTCGGCCAAGATGGCGCGGTGGCCTTTGCCGTGGCCCTTGCTTTTGCGTTTGATGACCCTCTGGGCGTGGCGCGTGGGCTTCTGGTTGTTGAAGCGTCGCCACCGTGTTGTGTCGCGCTCGTAAGCCTAGCAAAAATGTGCGCCGTGCTGTTCCGCAAGAGCGTTCCGTAG